AATGGCGCTCGTTAAGCAAGGAACGGCCAAGGGCCGTAAGCTCAAAGCGGCTGGTGGTGCCGCAGAAGGTATAAACCTAGAGCCAGAGTCAATGGAAGAGAGCATCAGAGTCTGCACGCGTATGCGGCCGCTTTTTCCGAAAGAGGTGAGATAGCTGTTGTACTGGCACGTGAGAGGAACAAGCAAGAAATGTTGATCTCCCCATAAACTTTGTCTGTTTCGCACGCATGCGAGGGTTTTTCTTGGGAGTCTATGGGATTCAGCAACGGGTTAGCTGTGTCGGGGTGTGTTGCAGGTGGAAAGTGGCCACATAAAGGCTTGGAAGGTGGAACAGAAATCGATGCAGTTAATAGTTGAACCACCAACTCAAGCAGAGATTGAAGAAAGCCGTCAGGGAAAGGCAACCACACCTAAGAAGGTGGTAGAAAAGACACAGGCTCAGAAGGACCAGGTGCAGAGGTTCTACGCGTTCGACAGGTGCTTCGACGACGAAGGTAAGCGTACCATGAGAACCATCCAGATGTTAGCTTTCCACTCCCCATGCAAGAGTCCAGTGAACTCTTAGGTAGATGTCCTAATTTGCTTACTCCAACTGAGCGGGAGCTCAGCATCACCAACGCCTGGCGTTTGGGATGAGTGGCATCGGCGGAGCATCTTCAGCAAGTCTTGAAATTGCACGGGATGTTTGCTTATGCAGCGGAGAACGATGAGGTGTTCGGCTACGTAGCACGAGACATCGTCTTGGACGCTTTTAAGGGGATCAACGGATGCGTCTTCGCCTACGGCCAAACAGGTGCACTTACTTGCGTCATCATTCGCTGGATGCTGGTTCCGCCGCACTGCATTTAGGGTTCCTAGCTTGCAGCTTGGGGAGCTAGCTATAGGCCTAGCTCCTTCACCTGTTGTACCTTCTTCCATCCTGCTGTTTCTCTTTTGAAACAATCTTACACGTTTGTTTGTCGTTGTTTAACTTTCGTTTTAGGCTCCGGAAAAACGCACTCAATCATGGGCGTGGCAGAAGATCCTGGCATTTTGCCGCGGTCGCTTGCAGAGTTTTTCGACTGCATGTCAGATTCCTCCTTGTTGCGGGAGGAAATGGAGGATGCTGCTGCCGAAAAGGAGGAGGAGACAGGGGAAACTCAACTTGCTGCAACAGATTCCCGAACAGAGGGTCTGGAAGCAGGCGAAAACCGAGTAAGCTCCTGTCCTGGTTTACTTGAGACGGCTTTAACACGGGATATTTTAAGGGTCTTACTATTGACGATAGCATGTAGGCAGTCGACTTGAGTGAGAGATGTATTTTCCCGCAAGGTTTGCGTTTGGTGCGTCAAAGGAATATCTCATGAGGGTTTCGTACGTCGAAATATACTTGGAGCGGGTGAACGACTTGCTGCAAGAAGGCCCAAGAGGAGGGGCTTTGGAAAATCTTGACGTCAAAGAAGATCCGAAGAAGGGCTTTGTAGTGGTTGGATTGCATGAGGAAGCTGTTGCCTCTATGGAAGAAGTGATGAACCTTTTGTCCAAGTAAGCCCAGAAGTATTCGTCGCAGCGCCACCTCCGCATTCTTTGTGTTTCTACACAAATGAAACTCTGTGCAGATAGCTGTCGCCGAGGGATACAGTTATCTACAATGCGGCTCGGGGGTTGTCGTAGTGCTTCTTCATCTTTGGGTGGGACTTTCCCTTTCGATCCGCATTGTTTGTACCGTTTCTGGCTGAGTGTGTGTGGCTTTGCTTATCAGAGCTGAACAGCGGCGCCATTTCGCCAGGACGAACTTCAATGAAACTTCTTCTAGGTGGGTTTCTTACCCTACGACAGCCTGCAACTGCGTTGGCCAGGCTGACGTTTTTCATGCGATTCAAGGAACTGGCATTTGTGCTGGTTACGTGCTGCATCTGACAGGTCTCATGTGGTTTTCTCGATTACTTTGGAGTCCACAAGCACTTTTGAGGACGGAACAAACGTAAGCCGGCGCGGAGAACTGAAGATAGTCGACCTTGCAGGCAATGAGAAGGCAGGCAGGGCATCTGAAGGGGTGGAAAACGCCAAGCTTGTTCTCGAGGAGGGGAAGGCAATCAACAAATCCCTATTTCTTCTCTCGTATGTTTCACGAATCCCCATACAACTTGTAGAGCGCATCTTCTGTGATTGTTGGGGGGTTTTGATTGCAGTCACCACCACAGGAACGAAGTAGAGTCAAGGCTCAGCTCGGGGTTGTTAACTGTTGTGTGAACTGTTTGCAGAGAGGTCATATCTAAGCTGTCGAAACAGGCACAACAAGCAGACGAAAAAGGCAAGAGGAAGGGAGACAAGGAAGTGTACATTCCATGGAGAGATTCGAAGCTCACTCGTCTTCTCCAGGTACGCTGCCTTGGTGAACGCAATATTGGCAACACTGCCGGTGGTTGCCAGCCCCCATGGGAATTGAACGGCTTGCACCGTGTTTGAAATCCACAGCAGTTTTGTCTGATCTTGTTACTGTACCTGCAGAAAGCTCTTGGAGGCAACAGCCGTGCTGCAGTGTTGGTGGCTGTCCACCCGTCAAGTCTATACTTGGACACCTCTTTTTCAACTCTCCGTTTCGCGATGAAGTGCAAGGAAATCAAAAAGAAAGTCTGTGCCAACTTTTTCTCTCCTGAACAGTCGCTCATTGCACAACAGAAGAAGCTAATTGCGATGTAAGCCAGCAAACGCTCCAGGAATATTGATAGTGACCCCGTCAGTCTGCTGATTGCCTAGGGATTCCGTTTGTGGCAGCGCTTGGCCACGGCCCCTTAAAGAGTATCAGGCGGGGACTTAACCCTTTCAGCCTTTGCCACAACTGTAGAGCTACTCAAATGCTTGGTGTATTCAGGCTTCATGCGCAGCTGAAGGAACTGTCGGAAGGAGGGGTAGTTCCGGGTGTCAGCTCGCAAAAGAATGCAGAAAACGACGAACAAATTCGAATTCTGAAGGTATGCTGCAGCCTGCCAGCAACAAAACTAGCGAAGATGCAAGCGGTTAGATGCCACTTTTGGCACGTACTGTGGTAAGCTCCGCTGTGTGGAGTTGCGTGTTGGGTGCAGAGCGACTTGGAGAACAAAGTGGCAAAGTTCCAGCAGTTCATCATAAAGGCGACAGCGGCTCCAACGCAACCATCATCTGGAGGAGGGTTGCAACGGGCTCGTACCATGCGTCAGTAAGCCGACTTTTACTTCGCTGTCATGATAGTTCAGTCTGTGCAAATGTGAAGTGCTCCAGTGTCTCACCGAATGATCCGGGGCTACGCGTTGCTCGATGTCTCCAGCGGAGCGTATGCATCTTGTGTAAGGGGCTTAGTGACATAATGCGTTGTGTATCTTCTTGGTAAATGCGTTGATTGCGGTGGAAACTGCTGAAAAACTGCTGTTGTAAATGCACATTTTCAGGCCGACTGCATTCCGAAGGATGGATACCCTGGCTGCTGCACGCTATGGACTGCGAGACATTGATGGGTTGAATCAAGCTGACTCCGAGGACCCTTCTGTGAGAGCATCTATGACGCATGCGTTGAGCTTGTTGGACCGCTTCGGTCAGGACATCAAGAGCGATGTAAGGCAACGAATGCATTCACTCTATTCGCCGAACTCTTCAGGCACACAAACGCTTTCTAGCTTGCCTGCCTTGTATCTTATGCCCTGTGTGTTCTGCTCTGTCTGTGCATTAAAGGGATATGGAAGCTTTCAATCAATGTCTAGTGCTGAAACTTCCGGGGGAGGAGTTCTGCGATTTGAAACCCTGGAGCATTCCATTGAAGGGGCGATACACGAGCTTGAATGTATAGATGACAACCCGCCGTCAACCGGGGAAGAGTCTCTGACATGTGAAGACTCGTCGGCGAGTGATCTTTCCGATCATGAGACACCCGCCGAAACTCATACAGAGGAAAACGCGCTTCCTGATTCGCAGCCAGATGCAGCGGCTAGCGAACGGAAGCTCAAACAACCCAAAGGCGCACCCGCATCTGCGAAAGCCAAGGTGACGCGAGCCAAAGGAGAGAAGAAGCTGAAGCCGAAAACTACAAAAGCTCCTAAAAAGGTAAAGCCACCCGCTCCAGCCAAGGAACAGGGTGAAGCAGCCCCAGAACCGCCTCCGGCCACACCTGCGCCAGAAGAACCTGTGGAGCAGGAGCGCGACAATGGTGAATCACGGAAAATCAAGGCCTTAGTCCTGAAGCAAAGGGCGGAGAGGCAGAATTGGGCTGCGAGGCTTAGAAAGGCAAAGGAAATGGGCCTGGAAGTCATATCGAAGGTTCTTTTGTGAGTTCATGCTCTTGTATACGACCTTTGTAGGAGACTTTACAACGTACCCTACATGTTTAAGCGGTGCGTTCTGCAGTGCTCTGTTAGCGTGTTGCCTCCCTCTGTATTTCTTTGCGTTCAGCCGGATGCAAGACGAAAAGGAAGCACTGGTCAAGTCTAAGAAGCGTACCGCAGAGCTGATGGGCCAGATTCGTCACATATGTGCCTTGATGCACCGGCTGGGACTTTCAGTGCTCAGTACTGCCTCCGCCCCAGGAAAAGGGCAAGACAATGAGTTGCCTGCTCGAGATCAAGACAGCGAGTCGCTTAAGAGTTTCCTTGATCGTATAAAGGAGAAGAGAGATGCAGAGCCATTGAAACTCTCTCTAGGCATTGGAGACCCCGTTGGCCAAGCGGCTAAAACTCAAGGCTTCCCTGACATTGATCAAATTCGCCCTTTGGCGTGTGCTGCAATTAGTAATGCCTTGTCGTAAGTTTGTTTATTTGGGGCACGTTGCTCGATACGGGACATGGGGGCAAACTGGTAGCACCGAACTCTACGGGATTCCATTGGCAAATTTCCTCATTCATGAAGCAAAACAAGAAGGCTTGCTCAGAGCCTCCAAAGCTCATATCGTATGAACCTGCCTTCGTGTGTCCTTCGCACAGGCGTGTCATGCTGGCGGAGGTATTAGAGAACACCCGAGAGGACGAGGAATCTCAACCGACAGGAGGCGATTCTGCATTACGTCCGCCTCCTTTGGCGTTAGCTGCGGCGGCTGCATCTTCTGGAATATCTGGTCCAAATGATGAAGTGCGTTTTCCCTCTGGACTTCCATGCTTCTAGCATAGCGATAACTTCTGTTGCCTTCTTCCACCCAATTTCAACCAACTAGGCAGCCAACAGGGGCAGCCAGCCAGTAGTCATATCTATGCGCAGAACATATCTCCTCTGACGTATTTTGGGCTCAGGCAACTACTCCAAGGGTTCCGCAAAGCGAGGAGGAAGCAGTCAGTGCGTTGGAACTTATTTTCGCAAAAGCTGCTCCCGCTGAGAGTAGCCAGACAACGGTCGACGCGGAGACAGCCCAGGTACCTCCTCCTTTACATGCTGATAAACTGTTTCGCTCAGAGCAACTTTGCAGGTTTTTGGATGGATAGCAGCTGCTGTGGTGACTTGGAAAAACGGCGGCTTTATTTGCACTGAATATACGTCTGTATATATAATATGCGTGCGTTCCAGATGGTGGAAGGCAAGAAGGAACAAACGCTTGAGTCCATTTTGCAAATCCTTCCTCCTTGGGAGCAGCACATGCTGGCACTCCTGTACGAACAGCAAGAAATGAGGAGGGCTCTTGGCCAGCTTAGAGACCACTTTGTGCACCGCCTTAAGGAACTCCAAGTTTCCGTCAAGAAAGGATTGGTATGTTCCGAGCATTTAGTCTAGATATATGCAGGAAGTTCGTACATCGTGGCATGGAAGACGTTTCTAACTGCCGATGTCGCCAGTAGGTCAAATGCGCAGGTGAAAAGCTCACCACCTATGCAGTATTTTATTCGTTTCCGATGTTGGCGCAGCTGGAGAAGCTTGAGCTCACCGAGCACTGCGAGAGAATGCTGGCTGCCCTATGGAGCTTCAAGGCAGAGTTAACTGACGCACAGTCGCCGAACCGTATCGACGAAGACACAAATGCAAAGTTTGCAAAGCTGATGGCTAAGCTTGAGGAGCTTTCGATTCGACTCGCTGAACGGGACATCGACTACAAGCTGCTCTCAGGTACGCTTTTTTTATCGAGGCTTGAACTGGAAGTCTCTTGACGAGAACTCCAGTATTTGTATATCTTACAGCATATCCGGTTGGTCACTGGAATTTTAACATGTTTGTCTGTTATTTGAACAGAGGATTACTTGGCTGTCAAGCAGGAGAACGCAACACTGCAGGAGACTACACGGAGGCTTAAGGAGGAAAACAGGAGCTTGCTTATGATACCGAAGACAATGACAAATTGGGAAGACCTTAAGGGCTATGATGATGTGGTATGGCACGTGTGTAAATCGAGCTTCATATGCGGACGAACAATTTGAAAAATGGTCATCAGAAAGTGGCACGCCGTGACCGCATGAATCACACCCACGATTACGCTGTTTCTCAGGAGAAGAGAGCTCTGGCAAGAGATGTCCAAATGCTACAGGGCTACGCGTCACATTTGCGTATGAAGCTCGAAGAAGGCCGTGCCGTTGAGCTTGATGTGCGGCGGCTGAACCAGGCGCTCTACGCGGAGCTCCTCGCTGCGAATACCGCAATAGCGGACCTGCAGGACCAGATAAAGTTTTACACGAGCGTGGACAAACGGGAAGCGATGCTTCTAGAGGTCAGTAATACAGTGCTGGAAAAGGGCTTTAACGTTCAAGTTCGCTAGTTGTCAGCGTGGCCTGGAAGTCCCTGGGAAGTTATTTGTCCATGATTTGGAACTTGTTTTCACTTTTACAGGAGCAATTGGCCGCAGCTAATCAAGCGGAAGCGGAGAAGAGCGACAGAATTCGGGAACTAGAGGAGGAAGTTGCGAGTTTAAAAGAGCAGCTTGCAGCAGCACTTCCCAAGCCGGCAGCTGAGGAGCCTGAACCTGAGTTGCCTGTTGAACCCGTGGAAGAAGTGCCGGCTCAAACCGAGCAGCAGCCACCGACCCGACGCTCCGTGAAGAAGAGCGCGCTCACAACGAGCGCCAAGGCAAAGCCAAAGGCTACTTCCAGATGTGAGTCTNCTCCGTGAAGAAGAGCGCGCTCACAACGAGCGCCAAGGCAAAGCCAAAGGCTACTTCCAGATGTGAGTCTAACACCTGAGTGCTCGATTTATGTAGATCTGTGGTGTTCAGGAACAGTAGCGTCGTTTTGCTGCGCTACCTTGCAGTGAAACTGGATTCGTTCCACCCAGTGAGTGCGCCTGCTTCTCTTCTAGCCCTGTTCGTAAGGAAAATAAGTGCGCTCTTCTGCTGTTTCTTTCAGCTAATTCCATGGCGTTGTCACACGCTGCCTCCTCTTCGCCAGCAAAGCCGAAGTCCTCAGTGAAGCGCAGCACCACAGGTACAGCTGGCGTAGATCGGGGGTCGATAAAGCGTGTGCCACGTGCTCCGTCAAGAACAAGCGTCGCGAAGGCAGAAAAGGCAGAAAAGCCTGCTTCTGCAAAAGGTGGAGAGGGCTCGAGACTCGTCAGGGTTGTAGAACCCGAGGGCCACTCCAGCCCAGCACCCACACCAAAGCCCACATCCT